TTGGACCCACGCTGTCGCACAAGTCTTGGGTGCCTCAGACGCTGCAGCCGGCAAGGCGACCGTCAGCATCGACAGAAGCAACAGACGGGCCATGTTCTGAGAGTCTGAGAATCGGCTTTCCTAACCGGCAAGAGGGCAGTGCGGCCTTTGACTTCGAGCCATGAAAATGCGAACACGAAAAATGCTGCTAGTCAGCTGTAGTCATTAGTCACCACCTCGCCCACGGTAGAGAAGCAGCCTCCATCACGTCGAAGATGGTTCCAAGGCAAGCGGAGAACTTCTCACCGTCCAGGGATCACCTGGTGCAGGGGGATTCTCAACGTACCCAAAATCTATTGCACGCATAAGTGCCTTGAGGTCAACCCGTATTTGCAACAGCGCCCGCCTCAAGTCAGACTGATATACCTACTCGCGCTCAATCGATCATCGGCTGGCACCACAGTCGACGCAACCCCATCAGCTTCTTGTGGGAAGGTCCTTCCTCGCCAAAGGCCGGTGGTGCTGGTACTCTCCTGGGCTAAGGATGGGGACAGATTCCCCTTCGAGTCGCTCAAAAACTGAATAAGGCTCCAAAACACGACCGGAGCAGCCTGGTCTCGTCCAGTGGAAAGTTGGGCACACTGCCAAAGGCCACGGCCGAGAAGGTTTCGTTCAAGTTGGGCACTCGGTTCGCGGCCCTCCGAAGAAGGGTCACTCTCCAGGAATGCTTCGGCAGCTCCTCCTCGTGGACCATCCTAAGATCATCTCGGCTGAAGATTGAGCGCTTCGAGGGTTGGGGCGCCAGGGTCGCTTCTAGGTTCTAAGTCCCACGCCTTGCAGCCTTGTGGGCGGATTTGTGCGATGCGCAGACGGTCTTGCAAACGAGCTCAGATGGATTTCGACAGCTACCCTTATCTCGTCCGTTTCTATCGGCTCAATTCCATTGGGGGCATGCGACTTTGCATTCTTTTCGCTGCGACCCAGCATCGGGACCACCGGCGGGTTGAAGCCCCTGAGCGCCAGCTGATACTGCCCCGCCTCAAGCACTGCTCTCTCGCCGCAGCTCTGGCAGTGGCTGGCGAGAGCCTGCACGTCCATCACCACTTTGCCTTCCGGGTTGCTGGATGTCTTATTTGAGAGAGAGGTCTGCTTTAGTGCTACACTCACCGCCACTGGAAAGCAGCCAGCAGGCAAACTCCAAGGAGGCCTACCACGCTCACCAAAGATCATAAATCATTAGTCATTAGTCCAACATCGAAACCCCAGACCCTCCCTTTCCCCGCTGCTCCGGCTCCACTCGTGCGATCCTCAACTGCGACTCCTGAACTGGGACCCAGCAATCTGCCGAAGCTCTTCAAGCCCTCAGGCACTCAAACCTCCAAAGCCTTACGGCACAGAGCTGGAAACACGTAAGCATCTTGGAATGGAAGCCCTGCCCCCTGCCTTGCACTACGAAACACGCCACCTGGGTTCGGGGCAGCGACACGTAGCGGTCCGCCGCACAGGCTGCGAAGACCGAAGCACTGAGATCACCCTCCAGGGCTCTGGGTTTAGATTCTGAGGTATTGGCCCAATCCTCTCCCATTAATGCTTCCTCTTCGAAGGATTTCGAGACATTCGAAAGCAGCTTCGGCTCTGAGGCTTCAGTTTCGGTGTTTGGTGCCTCGGAGATTTTGGAGCACCGGGTTCGCCCGCTGCGGAATTTCCAAGTCAGGGCCGGAAAGAAGACCCCAGACCCGAAGCCCTAAGCCCCAAAGATCCCCAAAGCAAAGCGGAAACCGCGCGTCCTCCAACGAAGAGCAGAGGCTTCGGCGGCCGCTGTCGGTGGAGATGTCCCGATAAGGGGGGTCCTCGATCCTTATTCCCAGGCGGGCGTATGATCGTGAGGCCGCTGGCTAGGATGGTCCGATTGGCCACGGTGGGCTTGCATTTTGGATGCCTTGCTGGTCCACGTGTGGTCCCTTTGACGTGGTCACCGTATGTATTCCTTCTGATTCTGTTAAAAAGTCACCAAACACGGTCGCAGCTTGGAAAAGGCCACAAAGCCCCTTTGAACTCCGAACTCCGACTCCCAAAGGCCAGGGATCATCAGCTCGAAGAACGGGCAGGGCACCCGGGCCGGGTCTTGGACGTCGCGCTGGCCGGGCTCCCAGGTCCTCTGGGAGCGGAAAGGATTGCCTGGGCCCACACTCTCTGTTTAAACATGCCTTCAAGCGGTTTTATGAGGCTTTTGCCGGGGGGTATGAGACTTTGTTCATGATTTTATAAGGGCTTCCAAGGACCTTTTATGGGGTTCTGTCAGGCTATTTGCGCTTGGGGCTGGGAAGGCTTCGGATCTCGTCGGCTTGGAGGTTCGGGAAGATTGGGTCAGTCGTTTTTGACACTTCCACTAAGCCTTGAACCCGAGATTCCACGGCTCTTTGCCGTTTGAGTCAAAAGTCCGGGAAGCTTCGGTATGCCGTACTGTTGGGGACCAGAAGGCTACAAAAAGTGTGACGCGCATCTACAAGATCATAAGCCATACAAGAAAGTATACATAAGCACACTTTACGGATACATTTTGCAGATCGTGACGAGAAGAGCTCAGGATAGCGAATTCGAGAGTGGAGTCTATCAACAGCCTCCAGGATGTTCAAACGAAGGGACTCGTGGAATTACTGGCCTTTTGAGACCGGCAGGGGGAGCGGGTGCACCCGCAAACCTGGCACACGGCAAAAATCCCAATTGCCCTGTCCCCCAGAACCCCTCAAAGCCACAAAAAGAACCTTCAGACTCTGAAACAATGATGTGGGAGCCTGTCTTTGTCATTTGTGTTCAACACCAAACCGCTCCCAGTCACTGAGGGAAGAATCCAGAAGCGCTGGATGCAGGGGCGACGGGGCCGTGTCGAAACGGAAGCCCTGAGAGTGAGCTCCAGAAAGGCGTTTCGACTCTGGGGTTCGATGGCTTTGGGTTCGGGCTTTGAGCTAAAGTCAGTGTGGTCATTTGGGAGAGGCGTGAAAGCCTACCGAAGACCGTCCTTGCATTGTCGAGGGCTCTGTGTCTTCATGGTACGGCACTATAGGAACGTAGAATGTACAACATGAACGTGTCCGGGAGGCCTGTGGCGGTTGGATCTCGAAGGACATGGGCAGGGTAATTTTCACCGGCACGGCAACCTGGCTGCTCTTCTTACCTACTGTACAGGTCCGTCCGTCCGTCTATAAATCTCGCAACCCGCTTTGCGACAAGAACAACGAATTAACATTGACGACCGGGTTCACGATGACCCTGCTGAAAAAGCACACCCCGCACACAGAGGCCACTCTTCAACAAGCAAACCCTCATGGACTCATGCGGTCTTGCAATGCGGCACCAGGAGATAGACCGTCGTCAGGACGTTGGTCTGAGCCGTCGTCGTGGTCACGGCTAGATCCTTGACCAGGGAAAGCGTGGTGTGGGCCGCCCCTAACCCAGAAAACCTGCATCCCCAAAGTCTGGAACCTTGCAAACCCTAGAATCCTCGAACCCTGAAGACATTAAACGCACCCGTCCCTGCTCCCAGCCGAATCACTGGCAACGGCATGGCCGGCAGGTTCCTGCCCTCAAACGCAGCAGCAGCCGCAATAGTCGTCCTGCACGGCTTTGGGGCTTCAGTCGGGTAGAGGCTTAGGCCAAGGAAGCTCAAGGGCAAGCATCAGGCGGGCTCCATCCCAAAACCTCCACAGCCAGCCAGCCAGCAAATGCGCAGGCTCCACCAAATACGACCCGTGGCCGGCATCAGGAGAATCAGCTGGAGCAGGCTCCACAAATACCGCAAATCGATGAAACAAAAAACCGGAATCATGAGCATCAGCTGGCGCAGGCTCCACGAAAAAAGCAAATCAATGAAACAAGAAACCGGCATGATGAGATTCAGCTCGAGCGGGCTCCACCAAAGCCGCCAGAAAATGCGACCCATGGCCAGCATCATGAGCATCCGCTGGAGCAAGTTCCATTTTTACCGCAAATCAATGAAACAAGAAACCGGCATCATGAGCATCAGCTGGGGCAGGCTCCACCAAGGCAGCCAATAAATGCCACCCATGGCCGGCATCATGAGCATCAGCTCCGCAAATCAATGAAACAAGAAACCGGAATCATGAGCGTCAGTAAACGCGACCATGGCCGGCATCATGAGCATCAGCTGGAGCAGGCTCCAAGACAAAAAAAGTAAACCAATAAAATAGGAAACCGGCATCGTGAGCATCAGCTGGGGCGGGCATCATGAGCATCTGCAAGACCAAAACATAGAAACTAATAAAACAGGAAACCGGCATCATGAGCATCAGCTGGGGCCGGCTCCACCAAGGCAGCCAGTAAGCGCGACCCATGGCCGGCATCATGAGCATCAGCTGGAACAGGCTCCAAGACAAAAAGGCCAACACATTAAACAAGAAGCCTGCATCATGAGCATCAGCTGGGGCGAGCTCCGCCAAGGAAACCAGTAAGTGCGACCCATGGCTGGCATCATGAGCATCAGCTGGAGCAGACTACAACACAAAAGGGCAAACCAATAACATAGGAAACCGGCATCGTGAGCGTCAGCTGGGGCGGGCTCCACCAAGGCAGCCAGTAAATGCGACCCATGGCCGGCATTATGAGCATCAGCTGGGCAGGCTCCACCAAGGCAACCAGTAAGTGCGACCCATGGCCGGCATCATGACCCTCAGCTGGCGCAGGCTCCACCCAAAAACGTAAACAAATGAAAACAGAAACCAACATCATGAGCATCAGCTGGGGCGGGCTCCGCCAAGGCAGCCACTAAGCGCGACCCATGGCCGGTATCATGAGCATCAGCTGGAGCAGGCTCCACCAAAAAAAGCAAACCAACAAAGTAGGAAACCGGCATCATGAGCATCAGCTGGGGCGGGCTACACCAAGGCAGCCAGAAAGCCTCAGTAAGCGCGACCCATGGCCGGCATCATGAGCGT